TACTAAGTTCCTAAGTTACTTTTGGAAGACTCTATGGGGAAGATTAGGGACTAAGCCACTCTTTTCGACGACTTGTCATCCACAAACCGATGGACAAACGGAAGTAGTGAATAGGACTCTTTCTACGTTGTTGCGTGCTTTAATTAAAAAGAACCTTAAAACGTGGGAAGACTATCTACCGCATGTTGAGTTTGCATATAATCGATCTGTGCATAGTGCTACACGTTACTCGCCTTTTGAAATCGTTTACGGTTTTAATCCACTAACACCATTGGAGTGCGTCGAAACATGTTTAGAGTGCATCCAAACATAATTAGACTGCATCCAAACACGTTTAGAGTGCGTCCAACACGTTTAGAGTGCATCCAAACACTTTTAGAGAGCATCCAAACATGTTTAGAGTGCATCGAAATATTTTTAGAATGTGTCAAAACATGTTTAGAGTGTATCCAAACATACTTAGAGTGCGTCGAAACATGTTTAGAGTGCATCCAAACATACTTAGAGTGCATCCAAACACGTTTAGACGTTCAAACACGTTTAGAGTGCGTCCAAACACGTTTAGATGCTCTCTAAATATTTTTAGAATGTGTCGAAACATGTTTAGAGTGCATCCAAACGTATTTAGAGTGCGTCGAAACACGTATAGAGTGCGTCCAAACACTTTTAGAGTGCATCCAAACATGTTTAGAGTGCATCAAAATATTTTTAGAATGCGTCAAAACATGTTCAAAGTGCGTCGAAACATGTTTATAGTACAATAACAGATGTTTAGAGTTCGTCGAAACATGTTTAGAGCACGTCGAAACATATTTAGAGCGCATCCAAACTTGTTTAAAGTGCGTCAAAACATACTAAGAATGCATCCAAACATGTTTAGACGAACTCTAAACATGTTTCGAGTGCACCAAATCACGTTTAGAGTATATCCAAACACATTTAGAGTGCATCCAAACATGTTTAAAGTGCGTCAAAACATATTTAGAACCAAACATGTTTAGACGAACTCTAAACATGTTTCGAGTGCACCAAATCACGTTTAGAGTATATCCAAACACATTTAGAGTGCATCCAAACATGTTTAAAGTGCGTCAAAACATATTTAGAATGCATCCAAACATATTTAGAGAGCATCGAAATATTTTAAGAGTGCGTCGAAACATGTTTAGAGTGCATCCAAACATATTTAGAGTGCGTCGAAACATGTTTAGAGTGCAACAAAAGATGTTTAGAGTTCGTCGAAACATGTTTAGAGCACGTCAAAACATATTTAGAGTGCATCCAAACATACTTATTTAGAGCGCATCAAAACTTGTTTAAAGTGCGTCAAAATATACTAAGAATGCATCCAAACATGTTTAGCGTGCATTAAAACATTTTTAGAGTGCGTCGAACGATGTTTAGAGTTCATCTAAACATGTTTAGAGTGTATCCAAGTATGTTTAGAGTGCATTAAAACACTTTTAGAGTGCGTCGAAACATGTTTATAGTTTGTCTAAACATGTTTTGAGTGCACCAAATCACGTTTGGAGTGCATTCAAACACATTTAGAGTGCATCCAAACATGTTTAAAGTGCGTCAAAACATACTTAGAGTGTATCCAAACATATTTAGAGAGCATCAAAATATTTTAAGAGTGCGTCGAAACATGTTTAGAGTGCATCCAAACATACTTAGAGTGCATCCAAACACGTTTAGAGTGCGTTCAAACACGTTTAGAGTGCGTCCAAACACGTTTAGAGTGTGTCCAAACACTTATAGAGAGCATCCAAACATGTTTAGATTGCATCGAAACATTTTTAGAATGTGTCGAAACATGTTTAGAGTGCATCCAAACATACTTAGTGATATGCACCTCGGTCACTTAGGGGTTTCTCGGTGAACTATAGGAACGAAAGAAGGACTTTGTTTTGGAATTTTCGTGGGATAATGACTCTAACCTGAGGTTCTGGTCCTAAGACACTCACTCTAAGGTTTAGGGTCAAAAATTACAGAGGAAAACAGAAGAGAACGGATAGATTTCTCGGACACACCAAGAATGGGGCTCGGACACACCAAGCAGATTGTTTCTCGGACAAACCAAGATCAATGGACGAAATTACTCAAAGTTTTATTCGAAATCTGCTCCTAAACAAAGGAGAACATCTCTTCTTATAGCGAGAAGAGGAATTATTACAAAATGGAAAGAAACTTCTGCAATAACAAAGAAATGGAAAGATTGAAAAGAATGGAAATATTCTCTAACAAGGAAAAGGAAGGTGCAGCCTTGTGTCTTGCTGAGTCACCAACGGTCAAGAGATGTTTTTGGCAAGAGAATTATCTGAACTTCCATGTCATAGGCTAGCTCAAGATCTTCCCTTAAAGGTGGTTGATGATTAGGCTCGAATTTGGCTTCTTTCCTTCTTTGTAGATCTGATTTTGATGAGGTGGCCTTGAGGTGGATATTTTCCTATTTTCAAAGCCTCTAATTGGTGTGGAGACTTGTCTTGATAGGATGATGGCTGCTCTTCAATTCGGCAAGTCTCCAAGGATGAACTTAGCTTCCATTCTCGGCCAAGGCAAGGCCGAGAAGTAACCATGTCTTCTTGCTTGTTCCATCCATCTTGTAGGTTGTTTGCTCGATCCATTGTGCCATGAGAGTCCTCACTTTGGCCTGCCATGCTCGTGCCTTAGACCGTGTGAGGGGTGGTTCCGGCATAGGTGGAAAGTTGGCCTCGGTGTTGTTGGTTTCTTCTTCCGAGCTCGGCTCCTCCTCCATGCCCTCCTTGCTCTCATCCGATCCATTGTGCTCATCCGTGTCCATGGTTAGGTCGATGACCTCATCAGAGTGCATCCAAACTTGTTTAAAGTGCGTCAAAACATACTAAGAGTGCATCCAAACATGTTTAGAGTGCATTAAAACACTTCAAAAGTGATCTTCTTGCGTCCCTTGTTAGCTTGACGTGCGTATTGCTCTGTTCTCCGCATCACATTGTCTCGAACTTTTGCATGGAGCTTCTTGATCAGATCAGCCTTCTTCTCTCCATCAAGGTTGGTTACTTCGCTGCTTGGAATAGGTGTTAAGTCCAATGGCGTGAGAGGATTGAAACCGTAGACCACTTCAAAAGGTGAATGCCGTGTTGCGGAGTGTGTTGCTCGGTTGTATGCGAACTCCACATGTGGAATGCAATCGAGCCAATTCTTCAAGTTTCTTCCAATGGTGGCTCGGAGTAGGGCAGCCAATGTGCGGTTCACCACCTCGGTTTGACCGTCGGTTTGTGGATGGCATGTGGTTGAGAACACAAGCTTTGTTCCAAGCTTCCTCCAAAGGGTCTTCCAAAAGTAGCTCAGAAATTTAGTGTCCCGATCCGACACTATACTCCGCGGCAATCCATGTAAGCGTACTACTTCCTTGAAGAACAAGTCAGCCACGTGTGAGGCATCATCCGATTTAGCACATGGAATGAAGTGCGCCATCTTCGAAAACCTGTCAACCACAACAAAAATCGAATCTTTGTTCCGGATTCGTGGGAGTCCAAGAACAAAGTCCATCGAAATATCAGTCCAAGGTGATAAAGGAATGGGAAGAGGGAGATACAAACCGTGTGGGTGTGTCTTAGATTTGGCTTGATGGCATGTAATGCATCTAGCGACAAATCGTTCGACATCCCGTTTGAGATGCGGCCAAAAGAAGTGCTCTTTGACGATTGCAAGTGTCTTCTCCACGCCAAAATGTCCCATGAGAGGTCCACTATGTGCCTCCTGTAAAATAAGCTCCCGCATTGAGCACTTTGGAATGCATAGCCTCCTTTCCCGAAAGAGATAATCAGCCTCCTTGTAGAATGATCCATGAGCTCCCTTAGTGCACTCCTCATAGATGTCTCCAAGCTCGGCATCATCACGGTACAGCCCCTTGATGTGCTCGAATCCAAGCATCTTAGCCTCCATGATCGAAATCAAAGCATGCCGCCTTGACAACGCATCGGCCACCACATTGTTTTTTCCCTTTTTGTACTTGATCACGTACGGAAATGTCTCGACATACTCCAACCACTTAGCATGCCTCCTTTTGAGCGTAGATTGGCCTTTGAGATGCTTCAACGTCTCATGGTCGGTGTGAATGATGAACTCCTTCGCCAAGAGATAGTGCTGCCATGTTTGTAAGGCACGAACCAAGGCATAGAGCTCCTTGTCGTAGGTAGGATAGTTGAGCGTTGCGCCACTCAATTTCTCGCTAAAGAACGCCACGGGTCGTTTTTCCTGCATCAAAACAGCCCCAATACCAATTCCGGACGCATCACATTCAATTTCGAATACCTTATCAAAGTCGGGAAGGACTAAGACGGGTGCACTCGTGAGCTTGTCCTTCAAGGTATCAAAAGCCTTCTCTTGTTCTTTTCCCCACTCGAATGCTTTATCCTTCTTGATGATGGATGTGAGGGGGGCTGCAAGAGTGCTAAAATCACGAACGAATCGTCGGTAGAAGCTAGCTAGGCCATGAAAGCTTCTAACATGTCCGACGGTGGTAGGGGTTGGCCATTCCCGAATAGCCTTGATCTTCTCCTCGTCTACGCTTAATCCCTGCGAGCTTACAACAAAACCTAGGAAAACTACTTCATTAGTGCAGAAAGTGCACTTCTTGAGATTGGCATAAAGCTTCTCCCTTCGGAGAGTCTCCATTACAAGCTCAAGATGTATCACATGCTCGGATAAACATTTGCTATAGACGAGAATATCATCAAAATAAACAACCACGAATTTACCGATAAAGGCGCGAAGTATGTGGTTCATAAGCCTCATGAAGGTGCTAGGGGCGTTGGTGAGTCCGAAAGGCATGACGAGCCATTCGTACAGCCCATGTTTCGTCTTGAATGCGGTCTTCCACTCGTCTCCTTCTCGCATGCGGACTTGATGATAACCACTCTTCAAGTCGACTTTTGAAAAGAGGGTTGCTCCGCTTAACTCATCCAACATATCATCGAGTCGTGGTATTGGATGGCAATATTTGATTGTGATGTTGTTTATCGCTCTACAATCCACGCACATACGCCATGTCCCATCCTTCTTTGGCACGAGTAGAACGGGCACTGCACAAGGACTTAAGCTTTCACGTATATAACCCTTAGATAATAAATCTTGTACCTGTGTTTGGAGTTCCTTAGTCTCCTTGGGGTTCATACGGTAAGCGGGACGGTTTGGAAGAGGTGCTCCCGGCACAAGATCGATTTGGTGTTCGATCCCGCGAATTGGCGGTAATCCCGCAGGTGGTTCCTCGGGGAAAACGTCTTGAAAATTCTCTAGGAGTTTCTTAATTTCCGGAGGATACACAATCTGATCCGAACCTACGCTCAACACTTCCTTGTACAACATTAGTAAAACCAAACGTTCATCTAGTAGAGCTTTACTTACCGTGCTTGGTTTCATGTAGAAGTTCGGTTTTTTGTTGTTGTCTCCTTCTTTGGAGAGCTTAACTTGCATCTCGTGAACCTGTGACGGCCTAAGAGGAGCCAACGATATCTTACGCTTGTTAAAGACGAATGAGTAATGGTTGGTCCTACCGTCGTGTTTCACCTCTCGGTCAAATTGCCAAGGGCGTCCAAGGAGTATGTGCCCCGCTTGCATTGGCACAACATCGCACATCACC